AAATTTCTGGCCGCGTGTTTTTCTCTCTCTCGCTTTTTTTTATCCGTTTTGTCGGTGTGTGTTAATTTTTTCTAATTGTCCGAAATTTAGATAATTACACGCCATTAATTATTTACATAATAATAACGTTCCTTTTTCCTATACTTTCTTCTTTGGCGGGACGAGGAGGGGCGCGTTTTACAATTTTGTGGTTGACTTGACTGTGGGCGTGGCCATATATATATAAATATCTAAGTATATATATGAGTATATAGTGCTGATGGCGCGGTGGGGGGCGTAAAATTAAATTTACATAATTTATGACTTGCTCAGCAATGTTCATGGGCGTTGTGTTGCATAATTTTAGGCATTTTTGTTTATTGCGGCGTAAAATTTGAATTATGAATCAGGAATAGCACTCGCCCCGCCTTCGACTCGCTCCTGCCCCCATCGAAATTCCAACTGCTTCCGTGCAAGGGTTACATTCTAAGGTTATTAGTAATTTATTTGCATATTTTGTGTCAGTCTAAAAAGGGTGGGAAGCAACCACAAAACTCGGCTGACGGACAGGAACAGCAGGAACTCAAGTGTCATACGACAGTCAAGTGTCGTGTCTTGAATGAAATAGGCTTTGAGTTGGGTTTGGGACACGAACACAGGTGTGTAGGTAGGTTTTTCAAGGATAAAACTTAAAGATTTAATGAACGATTTTCGCCTTGGTATTGCCTATCCACTCCCTTTTTTCCGTTTTACCACTTATTAACAGCTCTCTGTCTGGCAGATCGGATAATATATATGAACCAATAAACATTCTGCTGCCCACCATGGCCAAGGTTCAATGCCAGAACTTTAATTGCCACTTGCTAATTGCAAAACTCCCACCAAGGAGAGTGGAGCCCTGTAACAACACAGCCATTATATACACTTGCCATATTTCATACATCGAGATACATAAAGAATATAGATATTTCCCATTGAACGTGGCCCAGGCAGGCCAGAGCAGACAGCATAAAAAGTAGAAGAAGCAGCCACTGATTAGTATCGAAAAAGAGTGTGGGGGAGGGGAGCTGAGGAGCACGAACAGGATCAAGGAGCAGGGAGCTGGATGATACAGTTGCGGTTGGTTGGTTGGATGGCTGCCCTCCAGCTGGAGTTGAATCTCTGTGGCTGAGGAGGCAGTGAAAAACTTTTGATTAAGCTGCAGTTATGGCAGGTTGTTAGAGCGAAGAGTGAAGAGAGAAAGAGGGATAGCTAGAGCTGTTCTACAAGCTTTTGTTTTGCTTGCTAGCTCGTTAGTTTGTTTTGCTTTTACCTCCAGCTGGGTGGTGGGACACCCCTTTTGGGCCCCCTCGTTGAGCACATACACATGACAGATGCTTGAGGCAACATTGTCTACTTTTAGGTGCTTTGCCAGTGACAAATTTCTCTATCAGGCGAAAAAGAGAGTGAGACTTTTTCGCCGAGTATCTGTGTTCACAGAAGAAGGAAAAAAACTTTTGCATAAAACTTTGATGATTTTTGTTAGGAAAGAAACGAAACACCCGAGCCGGCGTTTTCAATAAGCAAGCCCTAGTATAGCCTCTGCTGTTCTTACCCTCAAGCTAACCCCATAAAATATTACTTTTCTATCAACAAAAGTTGCCGGGGCCACTCAATTCGAAACCATTTTCCAAACTATCATCATCATCATCGTCGTCGTAGTCGTCGTCGTCGTCGTCGGAGTGGAGAAAGCATCATAAAAATCGCTCTTCATGTGCTCCAAAAAGGAGAGAGAGAGGGAAAGGCGACCGCTGCCATAACAAAGCCATAAAACGTAGTTTTAATTGCATTTTCGTTGTTCCGTTTTATGTAGTTCGACCATCGAATGCATAAAAACAACAACCACACCAACAACACCCACACCCCCAACCACACCACCACCAGCACTGACCAAAAGCGTTCTGAAACCTCGGTCTCCGGCTTTTTGTACTCCGGCTGGTTCAATGCGCCGCATTCTAATTGCACAGGCTGATGGGATTGGGGATTGCAAGGGGGGAGGGGACAGTTCGGTTGGGGGATTTTAGGAAGGCACTTACGGCTTGACTGGATCTCTGGATCTCTGGCGCTGTCTCTCTGCGTATTTCGCTTTGCTCACTTAGCGCTCGGGCATCATAAACTAACGCAGTTTATGGGTCCATGCACCCAGGGCAGCCAGCAGAGTCAGCAGGCACCGCCAACACCCACCCATCCAACACAAGGACATCTAAAATGGCCAAAAGAGGCGGCGAGGGGTTTGGGGTTTAACAGAGCACTTGGCCAAGTTGGCACTTTCAGGCATTGCTGCATATGCGTAGGCGGCGACACTGCGGCTAGTCTCGACCTCTCGGCCCCTCGACGACCGAACCCTCGAACTCGTCATGCTCGACTTGCTGGGGCGCTAAAATTTGCGGTTTAACGTTGCCACTGGCGCCTGTGTCGACTGCAACATCTTGCCACCCAAAATACCACCCAGCAACGACACTTTGTCATAAGCAATTGTGAAGGCTAATTGTGTCGAGGCAGGCATCTTTTGATTCGGCTTCTTTGGCTCTCCCTTCCCTTTTCCTCCCCCTCCCCCAAAAAAAAGAAAAAAGAAAAGCGTAAGAGAGCCAGATTTAATTAACATTTTGACTCTCAAAGGCTTCGGCTTTTGGCAACATTTAAATTTCAAATTATGTGCGCTAATTACGCCACCGAAAGGGGCTTGGGCTTGGGCGAAGAAGCCTTTTGGCCGCCGCTAATAATTAGCCAGACTTTTTGTGCAGAGTCAGAGATGCCCTAGAAGGGATGCTCGGAAAGCAAGTTAAATTTTCTGAGCAGCAGCATTTTTTCTGTCTTCTCATAAATGGCCAGAAGTTCATTAACCAAGCGAAAAGCGGGCCAACCATCCATCCCTCATCCAGGCAATGCCATTGAATGGACCGATCAATATGTATTCTGCAGGCTGCATTGATTTCTCCTTGTTGCAGCCATTTGATGTGGCAGTCAGCTGCGGGCTTCCAGCAGTGATAAACTCTTCACAGAAAATATAAAGAAAATCAAAGTCCAAATGGGGGGGTGGGATAGTGATTTTCCGAGGGCATAACCTGCCTTTAGCTTGGCAATCTCCCTTCTCTCAGCCTTTTGAGATGCCCGGAGTCAAGTTGAGCTGAAAACATTTTCCAATTTATTAAGCCACGGCACATCAATCATTCATCAGCAGGAGCAGCAGGAGCAGCAGCAGCATCACATCCTGCGACTAAATGAACATTTTTCGGTTAAACATTGGTTTAAATTCTGCGGCGTCACCGCAGTTCCCCTTGCCCAGGCCCGCTGTCAACAGCAACATGGCGTTGTGTATAAAATCAACAAGGCTTCAGTTCATCGACCACTTAATTTATCCAGCTGAGCTTTGAGTAAAGGCAAAAGCGCATTTGTGTGTTGTCTGGCCAAGAGTGATGAAGAGCATGAGTATGGTTAGGGAAAGGAGGGGAGAGAGGCATTCCCTTGGTCAGACAGAGAAATGCACTTAATTGCCGTTAGCCGTGTTTAGCGGACCCTCAGTTCCAGCTGCAATTACGATTTACAAAAAAAATATACATTTCCAGCACACATATGTATATAGAAGAGGGAGCACACCTCCTCTCATTCATTATGCATTAATGTAAATACGGTAAATGTTGTCCAATCATTAACATAATTGAATTACAAACAAGCCCAATTGCAAGCAGCGAAAGGCACCGCCGAAAAACACTGCCGCGCTCTCAACATGCGCTTGCATAAATCGCAATTTTAATTACTCGCCTCTGACTAATGGATTGTTCCGAAAAACCAAAACGAAAAAAGGGAAAACACACAAATTCGTAGGACCCATTAAATATTTCATATTGTGGGCGGGACACGAAGGGCTCAACTCACGCCCACTCACGGTTATATAAAGCAATTGAATTTTGCAGTTAAAAGCTTCAATCATTTTCAATTGCCGCAAACTAATGGCTGATTATAAAATATTCATGCGACAAGCGGCAGTCGGCAGTCGGCAGTCGGCAGGCGATGAGACGACAGACTTTCATGCGGTGGCTAATGACAGGACTCGAATATGCCCAGGACCTCTGGTGATGAGCCAATCTAAGGCCAGGAAACCCAAAGGGCGTAGCCATAGACGCCCATTTAACCACTACCTGTGTGTGTGTGTGTGTGGTGCAAATAAATTACACCTGAAGAGAAGAGAGATACGTAAATGGGGTCTCCTTCTGGCTGATTATTGATTTGCTTGGGTTTCTGCGGTTTTTTTTCGGGTGGGGAGGGGGGTTGTGGGAGGTAGCAGGTCGGCCAACCGTTTCGAACATTTCGTATAAAGCCCTCAATTAAGTTTTATTTTAATGCATTTCATTTGAACGTCTTTTAATGGGATTTTTCGTGCTCTGGCACGGGCATATTACTCATTTGCCATAAACCAAAAGGTGACCACAACACGTAGCCATCCACCCTACTTTCGAGGCCCATACCCAAACCCATACCCCATTCGACATTCCCAATCCCGATCCCGAGTGGATGAAGGAAGACAGAAAGAGAGAGGCAGAGAGAACGTTAAGTGTTGGCTGGCCAGAATCGACATGGGTCGCTTGGGTGAGATTTAAGCTTTAATGATGCATGAAGCGGCACAGGATGTGGCTGCCCAGTCGTGGGTAAAAGGCAATGAGCGCAAATGTGCAGGAGCGACAGGAGGGACAGGAGATGGGCTTGCATATTGAGTGGCATTTAAATGCTTGAAAATGCTTCGCTGGCCAAATGTGTGTGTGTGTGTTTGGGAGGTGTTTATGAAGAGGTCCTCTGCCAACGAACCACCAACGAAAGTTGATTGAATTTTTAGAGGGGGCGACACTGGCATGCTCTAACCACCGATTTAATGGACTTTCCGGCTTTCATTTTTCCTTGCTAACACCCTTAATGCAAAATCTCTTTCAGCTTTATGTTCTTCTTGTTTCGATTCAGATATTAATTCCTTGTTCTTTTCCTTCCAGATGAACCGTGCTTTACAGCTGAAGCCAGCTGAAAATGAAAGTCGCAGCGGTAAGTAATCACCTGCCATATTCCATTATGACCCCCCCTAGACGACTCCCTAGCCAGAAAATCAATTTGTGAGTCTCTCCATAGGTGACCCAAAACAAATAATTACGAAAAACTTGACCCGTCTTTTTCTACTTCTGTTTGCGGGGGGAGGGAAAGTTTTTGTGCCAAAGCACTCAGCCGAAAAGTGCAGAGCTAGCCAAAGTTTTCCCTCAACCACTCACCTAAACATTCTCCTGCTATTTTCAACACCTACAACACACGTCAGCAAAAATTACGGGCGCACTTCGATAAACTGTCAAAACTGTCTGCAAAAATTTGACATTTCACAAAAAAAAAAGAAAGAACGAAAGAACCAGCAAGCGAACCTCGAAAAAATACTTGGAAAAAAAGGTAGAGAAAATGGGGAAAAGCGTATAGCAAAACAACGTTGAACTGTCAATGGCAGTCAGTTGGTGTGGGTGAGGGGATGAGATGGGGCGTTGAAGAAAAAAATAAGCGGGCAGTGAGGCCTCGCTGGCCAGGGCGCCATATTGTTTTTACTGGGACCCTCACACAGTTGTCGTGCTTCACGCTTGTTTGTGACAGCCCATCGACCCAAGTCCCCTCGACTCACAACCCTCCCTCCCTCCTCTCGCCACCCCTTGTAGCAAACAAAAAAAAAGAATGATAAAGATTTGCATAATTTACACAGCACTTCAACTTTGTTTTTTGGGTCAGGCCGTCGTTTGCCGAGTAGTTGTTGCTTTGATAAACTTATTGACAGGCTCATTATGCAGCAGCTTCAAAGTAATTTCAATATTTCCAACCACCCGCTGGGAGCTGGGTGCTGGGAGCACTCAACCCATAAAATTCGCTTCATGAAAAAGGTACAATCTACACATTTCGCAATCATCGCAGGATGCCCCCGGGCTGAATCGGGACTGAAAGTCAGTGCACTCCGCAATCTTTTAAGACATTTTGCAGCTGGCAGCGCTTATCACTGCTGAGCAGAGAATGGCAGCGCCCGAAAATGTCCATTGCACAAATTGCTACTGCACACACACACACACACATATATAGCCATCCTGGCCAAGACTTCGACTTCTATGGGAGGAAGGGAGGGAAAAGCACAGAGCCATTGCTCATAACAGTCGCTGTCGCTGGTGGCTGTGTGCGGTGCAAAAAACCTTGACAAAGTTGATGTGTCAAATCAGCAGCGAGCGCAGGACCCTCCTCCGGATGACCTTTAAACTTTGGCAAAGGACATGAAAGCACTAATCGTTACGTTGCTCCCTTTATTCATCCGTTTCTTCGGCTGCTTCGATTTCGCTTTGCAGCTCCTTGCTTGCTGCTCCCTTTTCACCCTGGCCCTGGCTCTGGCCCTCTTCGCTAGCAACAATTTAAACTTTTCTAATCCGCTGGGGATTGGGAACTTGAAGGAACTCTCGACTCAGCTCAACTCTGGCAACTTGCCGGCAATCTGTCCGCACAATTGTGGACCTGGTCTATAGGACTTGGACGTTGGACGATGGACGTGAACCTAGAGCCCACCAAACCATCAGCGACGCAATCAAGTCGACATTTTTGTTTGTTGCTTTGTTTGCCCCGTCCGAGTTGGAACAAATTTCTAAGAAATTAAAGCGCTAAACTTTTTGGGCCGCTATCAGCAGAGCACTTGGCAACTCGGCACCGAGTCCTGCGACTTTTGACTTGCCCTGTTTGTGATAGTAAAGCTTGAGTGTGTGTGTGTGTGTGTGTGTGAGGAAAGGATCTTTGGCTTTGGCTCTTTGGCTCTTTGGTTTTAGGCCAAAATGCAATTAGACAAGGACAAGTTTAATTGCTGGTCTCGACCAGGGCCAAATCCTGCCGGCTGCTGCAAGTTTTCAGTTTTCACCCGCTGACATTTGCATTTTTCAACCGACTCGGACAAAGAAATGTAATTTATTTAAAGTCAAATCAAGCGTGAAATGTGAGTGAGTTGCCAGAGTAAGGAACGGGGGGGGGCTATATGAATATATTTATTAGTGTTGACAAGTGCTGAAGGGAAACTGATTTAAAAGGGTTTCCTTCTCGCAATCTCAGCCTTCTGCTAACTTCATCAATTTTAACTTACCGAGGCAGGCATTGTTGACATGTCTGGGCTTTGACCAGGCCAAAACCCAAACTAAAACCCAAAATCCCAAGCCAACGGGACTTTGAGTACAATTTGTTGCCTTTGTCTTTCATCTCCTGTCCTCCCATTCCATGTCCTTACACAGCTATATATATCCCTACGTTCCGAGAACGTTTGTCGCATTTGCAATCTTCTGTGCCATATCTAAGTCTGATGACTTTCGTTTCATTGGCACACACACACAGAGATACACACACACATGGCCATGCTTAGTTATTTATCTTGATATTCCTGCCAGCCCACACACACACACACATACCATGCTTCATCATTATCAAACTCATATTGTCGTCTGCCTTTTCTCTCTTTCTATTTCTTTACGCGTAATTTGTACTTGTCTAACACGTAATGATGTCACGTAAATTGCATACGTTCGCTTACGTTTACGTTGACGTGTTACGTTTGATATTCGTTGGGCTGCAGGACCAGAGACTTAAAGTCAAATTAATATCACTCATACGACCCGTAAGCGAATCTGGAAAGAATCTTCTTCTGCCTTTAGCCGGGGCAAAACAGGGAAACATAAATTGTGAAATCCCCGCCATTTCCTCATGCCGGCAACAAGGACGACGCACAGATTTATGTTTCTAACTACGCATTAATTTCCTTACCTTTATCCCTGTGACTCCTTGTCACACGTCAGTAAATCAGATGCCGCTCCAGCCCGCTTCCACCTGGGGCACTTCCCGTCTCGCCTCATCCATCATACTTATAAATATTCATTTCCTTCTGCGGTACACACGATGGCGAGGGGGTGGAGTGTGCTGTAGGGGAATGATTGCGAAAGATTAAAAATCAACTCCATAAAAATTTCCTCACATCCCTCACACCTGATGATAAATGACAGTCGAAAATTAACAAAAAAAAGAGAGTATAAGGAAAAAAAAGGAAGAACATTAAAGGATATATGTAGATATAGGTAGACCGCATGTGGATGCTCCCAGGGAAGGCAAACTTCGCAGAGAGCTCATTAGAGACAACGACGTCTGATCAAATTGAAAAGCAATGAGCTATGAAACAGAAACCCCTTTCCACTTGGCCTGCTAATAAGCAGGCTGCGAAAAGTTTTAGGGCGAAAACTAATAATAATAATAATACGCAGCGTTGGCCGCCACCAAAAGAAACTTTTCTCATTTCGTTTGCCGCCATTCACTTGCCTGCCCCCCCAAACCCACTTTCTTACGCCTGATTACGCATTTGAATTGTATTTTCCCACTTTTCTGTTTCCCCCGAAATGCTTTTCCACCTCCCACCCCCACCCCGCAAAAGTATCCTTTTGACCATAAAGTAGAGAGACGAGGAAAACGCACTCATTCTCTACCTGCTGGCGGCCTTATTAGTGTCAACATTTTTATGGCAGCGCTGGCAATTTGATTAGCGCAAATAAAGAGCGACAAATTCAATTGAATTTGTAATATAGATTGACTGGCAATGATGATTGGCTTCAGCTGCGGCTGCCACTTCTTTTATCTGTCCCACATGTGTTTTTCTCTCGTCTTTACTTTACTTTTCGGTGGGGTGCAAATTAAAAGGACGAGGATATTCACCACTAAGCCCCAAATAACAAAGCCTTCGAGCCCAGACAAAAGGCATAAATAAAGCCAAGGCAGCATCTACGCCTAAAAGCAGACATCAATTTCTGCCTTTCTGCGTTATTCTCTGCTCCGGCTCTTCGCTTTCCTTTCTTTTCTCGGGCAACGGAGGAGCTCAATTCTTTAATCAGCTTAAATTCACACGTACCAAAAGCGACGCACAACCATTGATTGGAGGCTTACCCGCCCCCCGAAAACTCCATCCAGGACTTCCTTCCTCTTCACTTTTTTTTTTCTTTATTTTTTCGCTCCTGCGGCTGAGACTGCGTTGCTTTTATCAAAGCCAGTTCAAAGGCTCGTATGTGTATTTAGGCTTTTATTGTTTTTGACCTTTTTTTTCGCTCTCCCTCTTGTCTCTCTCTCTCTCTCTCTCTATCTCTCTCTCTCTCTGAAGAGACGAAATAAAAATCGATTTTTTTGGCACACACTTTTTCGCACTGACAACTCACGCACAACAAAATTTGAGAGACGGAAAAGGAAAGGAAAGGAAAAGCCAGCTCAAATAAAAGTAAATCACAAGCATCGCTGCTGGCAGCATTCACAAGTTCAAATAAGCGATAATAAGTATTTATGGGCGGGGCAAAAGCAGATTCAGTTCCGTATATATACACGATATATATGTATATACACGAGTGTAAGGCCCAAAACATCCTGCTAAATGTGTTTTAATGTTTTTTAAACTTTTGCCTTGCTTGCTCTTAAATATTTAAGTATACTTTTAGGCGACTCGAACGACCGTATAGTTTCCTTTTCATTTCCCATCGACAGTTTCTGTTTCTGCCCATCATTTTTCTTCGTTGCTTGATTTTGTTTTTACGAGCGACTGAAGCCTGTCAATTGGCTGAATGCCTCGTAAAAATGCCAGAGGCCTACAAGGAACTTCTTTCCTGCCAAACCTAACGCAACGCAAGAAAAAGAAGAAAAACGATTTGTTATGTTTTCCCAGCGCAGCGCCAACAGGAAACGGAAAAGCCCACGAAGACGACCAACTCTGTCTCCTTCGCTCTCCGTTTTGTTTTTTAGTTTGTTATTCTGTTATTTTGTTTTCCTTGGCCCACTGCTTAGGCCTGCCAAATGTCATCATTAGCGTTTCAATTGCCATTTTAGTCCGTGACACTTGAAACATTTGCATAAAATACCAAAAGTCAAGTTTGTTGACGTTGTCATTTTTGATGGCAGGAGGCAGGCAGCCTGATGTTTACCTTTGACAGGAGCAGCTCGAAAGTAAGCGATGGAAAGATGCTCTAACTCTAAGA